TGTACATCAATGGTAGAAGGTGTCAATTTGAAGATGTGGTGCCAATCAAGCCGGTTGCTTAGTCCTGGGTGTTATGAAGTTTCTGGAGTGCTGCTGGAGCTGCACACATGCAGGCAAGTAGGGTGTATTCCATCATTCGATTGACATGTGCCTTGTAGATGATACACAGATTTTGGGAAGTCAGGTGAGTTACTCACTGCAGGATTCCTAGCTTCTGACTTGCTCTTGTAGTCATGGCATTGATAAGCCCCGTTCAGCTGAGTGTCTGATCAATGATGTGAACAGTGGGGAATTCAGTGAATGCAATGCGATTGAACGCTAAGGGGCAACAATTAGATTCTCTCTTGTTGGAGATGGTCATGCATGTTGCCTTGAACTTGCTCAGAATTGGAAATGATCTGGATCTTGCTGCATTTTACATGATCTGTTTCAGCAGGAGTTGCTGCAAATGGTGTTGAATATTGTGTAATCTCCAGGGAATATCTCCACTTCCAACCTCATGTTAGAGGGAAAGTCGCTGATGAAGTAGCTTAGGCTATCTAACAACCAAGAGTCAAAATACAGAAAGGAGATAGAAGGCTTGGTGATGTGTTGCAATGAGAACAACCTCTCTCTCAACATCAGCAAAACTAAAGAACTGATCACTGACTTCAGAAAGAAAGGAGAACACGCCCCATCTACAATCAACGGAGCTGAGGTTGAGGGTGGACAGCGTCAAGTTCCTAGGAGTGACGGTAACCGACTTGTCCTGGACTTGCCACATAGATGCGATGGTCAAGACAGCACAACAATTGCTCTTCTTCCTCAGGTGGCTCAAGAAATTTGGCATGTCCATAAGGACCCTCACACACTTTTTCAGATGCATACTGTCTGGGTGCATAACGGCCTGGTATGTCAACTGCTCTGCTCAGCACTGTATAAACTACAGAAAGTTGTGTGCACAGCCCAGACCATCATGGAAGCCAACCTTCCATCCACAGACTCCATTTACACAGCTTCTTGCTGCCAACATCAAAGACCCATTGTACCCCAGTAACGCTCTCCTACAACCTCTGTCAGCCATAAGATAGAGAAGTTTGAACACATGCACCAGCAGGTTCAGGAACAGCTTCTTCCAGCTGTTATTAGACTGAGGCACAGACTTTCTAACTTCAAATAATGCCGATTTGGTAGTATTGATCTTGCCTAGCGCACACCTTGTGACGTAACTTATATGTCTTTAAGTTTTGTTTCCACCCTATGATCTGTATGCCCTTAATTACAATGATCTGCCTGTACTACGTGTAAACACAGCTTTTCACTGTACTTAGGTACGCGTGACAATAAATCAAAATTAAAATGATTAGTAGGCCTAGGACACTATCCTGAAGAACCCGCATTATTAGGTACCGAGGCTATGATGACTGACTGCCAACAATTACAACCATCTTCCTTTGTACCAGGTAAGACTCTAATCACAAGTGATCCTTCCTTAAATCCTAGGGTTGCTAGGGCTCCTTGATGCAACACTGGTTAAATATGGCCTTGGTGCAAAGGGCAAATCACACTCGCTCACCTGTGGAATTCAGCTCTTTTCTCCATGTTTGGAATTCAGAGTGTAATGAGGTCAACAGCAGAGTGGCTTCAGCAGAACCCAAACTCGGCATCAATGACAACACTCTTGTTTAACACTTTTGAAGACCTCTTCCTTCACTTCACTGATGATCAAGTTATTTGATATATTTAATATAAAAAGTAAGGGGAAGGGGCTAGGGAAAGGGTAAGGCAGACGTAAATCTTCAAATGTGAAAATTGACTTTCATCAGTTAAAGGATCACAGGTCATGGTAACCAGAGATGTTTTCCTTACCCCATGTTTGACCTGATGCTAATAGACTTCATGCAATCCAAGAGAGGAAGCAATTCCACAAGACCATTCCCCTTGAGGGATCAGTGTTGACAATGATAGGGAGAGCAGCAGCAGGTGCCACTGACAGTCTGATCAGGGTATACATGCCAGAAAGATATGTGGACACTACAACCTCTTTACATATACATATCTCTGCTCACTAAATCTCCCAAAACTATTCTCAAACTCCACATGATCTCATGACCTATACCTTCCTGCATGTTACACCTTAATTTTATCACTGTCCTGTTGAAGTACTCAGCATCACTGATGCCAGATTTCAGCTGAAATAAAACAAAGAACTGCAGATGCTGGAAAACTGAAACTGAAACAGAAACAGCTGAAGAAATTCAACAGGTCTAGCAGTATTTGTAGAGACAGCAGAGTTAAGGATTTGAGTCCAGTGACCCTCGTGTTTGACTCCACCCTAGTTTAGCATGCACTTGCAAGTACTCCACAATTTCATCCTTAATAATGGAATCGAATATCTTAGCAACAACCAAGGTCAGGCTAACCGACCTATAGTTTGTGTCTTTGGCCTCCCTTCTTAAATAGGGGTTTACGTTCGTCACTTTCCAGTCCTCTGGGATCTTCCCGGACTTCTGTGATTTCTGAAAGACCACCACCAATACCTCTACAATCTCTTCAGCCATCTTCTTCAGAACTGTGGGGTGTATTGCATTTAGTCCAGGTGATTTATTCACCTTCAGACCTTTCAGCATCCCAGCACCTTCTCTTTAGTGACTGTCATCACACCTCAGCCCCAGACTCTCAAAGTTCTGGTATGTTGCTGGTGTCTTTTATTGTAAAACCTGATGCATAGTACCTATTCAGTTCCTCTGCCATTTCTTTGATCCCCATTACTACTTCTCCAGCCTCATTTTCCAGCAGTCCAATGTCCACCGTTACCTCTCTTATCTTTTAGATATCTAAAGAAAATCCTTATATTCTTTTATATTAGTAGCTAGCTTACTCATAAGTCAGATTCTCCACCCCACACAGCCCCCCATCCCGACTACTTTTTCAGCTGTCCTCTGGTGATTTTTAAAGATTCCCCAGCAATCTTCAGTGCCCTTGGCCCAAGAATGTTCTATTGCTGAAATGATCATCCCTCCATCATAAGGTCAAGTGAGACGTGGGATATTCAGTGACAAATGCACCATATTCAGCATTCACAACTCTTCAGATACTGAAGCAGTCAATGTCCAAATGCAGCAAGACCCAGACAATATCCAGCTTTGGGCTGATGCATGTCAAGCAATATTCATGCCAGAATTGTGCCAGGCAATGATCATTTCCAACAAGAGAATCTAACCATCACCCCCTGACATTACCATTCAGCATTACCATTGCTGAATCTTCCACTATCATCCGGGAAGTTACCGCTAACCAGAAGATGAACCAGGCTAGTTATACAAATACTGTGAATACAAGAGCAGATCAGAGGCTAGGAATCCTGCAGCAAGTAATTCATCTCCTGACTCCCCAAAGCCTGTCCACCCTCTACAAGGCACAAGTCAGAAAAGTCATGGAATACTCCTCACTTGCTAGATGACTGTAGCTCCACACATGAAATTTGAGACCATCCAGGACGAAGCAGTCCATCCGATTGGCATCACATCAACATTCACAGCCTCTACCTCCAACACTCAGTAGCAGTGCGTACTATCTATGACTAACACGGCAGGAATTCTCTAAGGCTCCCGAGAGACCACCTTCCAAACCCATGACCACCACCATCTAGAAGGACAAGGGCAAGAGATATGCGAGAACACCATTTATACATGCGCCTCCAAACCACTCACCATCCTGACTTGGAGATATATTATCTTTCCTGCAGGTGCCCCTGGGTCAACATCCTAGAACTCCCTCCCTAACAGCATTGCGGGTCTACAATACAGCAAATAAATTTTGGTGGTTCAAAAGGCAACTTACCACCATCTTCAAGAGCAATGAGGTATTAAGGATAAATGCTGACCTAGTCAAATGCTGGAAGAAATGGAAGAGGATAGAGACAGCCACCATATTCAATGGAAAAGAAAACAAAAACACTGAGGAAGAAAGCATTGTATCAATTGGTACTACCATGCCAGACACTAGCTCACAGTCCAACAATCCAAATAACTTAGGGACTCCTATCCTCAGGTGGGAGTGGCTATAGTACAGATGAACCAAAATGATACAGGTTGATTAGTTAAAATCTGGGGACAGATTTCATAGACTCAATATGCTTTCCTTGAGTTTAAAATATTATGAGGTGATTAAACTGAGGTGGTTATAATGATTAAAGAAATCGATAGTTAGGCAGAACAAAGATGCATTCAAGTAGTGATTTCAGGAAACATTTTCTTATACAAAAGAGTAATAGAAAGTTACGAAGGCAGGTCAATTTGTAATTTCAAATAAGATTGATAGATTTTTGTTTGCTATGGGTATTAAAGAATATGGGAATAAAGTGGGTAGACTGAGATACAATACATGATCTAATTAAATGGCAGAACACACTTCTGGACTGAATGACCCATGGTCCAGTGGTTAAATATAAGGACCAAAAACAGGAGTTCTAAAAAGCTCATTTGTGCTTAGAGTCTTTAAGTTCCATTTGCTCTAAAACCACTTTGGAATACAAAGAGTGGTTTTCTCAACTTGAGAGTTCCTAAGAGAATACTTGAAGTAGTTCTACAATGTGCACAGGTCAGGAAGCACTAACAACATGTTCATAGTGACAAACTGTAGCTGTCACATGTAAATACAAGGTAGAAAGAAACTGTAGGACTGAAAAGTTCCAAAATCAAAAGATTCTTTTTAAGAAAGTTGTTTTGTGTTAATGTGCTAAATACTGAATCCATAAAAATTCTTGTACGAATTAAAATTCCATGTACAACATTACGTTAGCAGGGTACTCAATACTTCACAATTTTTTTCTACAAATAAAACAGAATTGTGATCACTAATACTTCAATACAGTTTGAAACAGCTTGAAATATACTCTCCAGAGGCAAAATAAAAATTATATCCAAGTAATTCAGAAATCAAGTGATCACATTTTAAGTATTGTAATTGTCTGTTATGCGATACTGAAACTATTGGTGAGAATGAAACTATTGCCTTACCAGGTTTGAAGGTTATCAGACATGACCTATTCGTACATGTACCCTCTGGGAATATCATTACCTGGAAATAAGATCACGAACCATTTAACTGAATACATAGAATAACATATTTCTTTAACAACCATATTTTGAAAAAAAAGTCAAACTAATTTCAAATACGTGCAAATTATTTTGGAAATAGTGGATGTCAAATAAGTTAAGCACATGGAGGTTGAAAACATGTTCAAAATACACAGTCCAAGAGTACAGTTAGCAGGATAATTCAAAATTAAATATGGAACACTGTTCAAAAGTGAGAGCGCTTACGGCAAGGTCAACTAGGAACTTAGCGTCCTGGCCTCTAGGAAGGGGATTTAAATTTAGCCAAAAGCAAAAAGGGCACGTCGATTTCCATTCTTGAATTGTAATCACTCAAATTCTTACTTGTAAATATCAAGGTCAGAACTCTGACCTATCCAGCACAAACATCTTCCGCATCCCCTCCCTTGTCAGCATTTCACAGGGATTGGAGAAACAGCAAGAGTGCAACATACTTGGGAGTGAACAGCAACAGCAAAACTTCCTGATAAAAGCCTGAGAAGCAAAGCCCAGACTGTGCTCAGTTGGAGCAGCAGCTAGCAAACTTTTAGAGGTGGAGCACGTGAAGCATTGTCAGAATTCAATAAGTGACTCAGGCCAAAAGGAAGCAGCTGACAGAGTAAATACTCACCCGATCTTTGACATGACTCCAAAACTTGGAATACATATAGACACCACCTTGGAGGTCCTTTAGAAGTACTATCAATGCTGTTTGAGATGGGTGCTCCACATCAATTGGCAGGACAGGCATACTAACTTCAGCATCCTTGAAGGAGCCAATAGCACCAGCAGAGGCCATGCTCATTCGAAACCAATTCTGCTGGGCTGGCTGCGCACTTAGGAAGCCTTAGTTTTGACTGCCAAGACAAACATTTTAACCTAGCTCAAGCAAGGCACTTGAACAAGTGGAGGACAAAAGAAAGTATTTCAAAGTCTCCCTGAATGCTTCCCTTAAAGTAACGCAACATAGAGGCCTTCATTCAGAAGGAACAGACTTGGAGGAAGCTCCTGTAGGGACATAATTCTTGAAGAACACCCAGCAGGAGGAAGAACGGAAAAAGGAAACAGAAAGGCAAGCCAGTGAACTCAAGGTTAAGGACCAGCTCCACCACCAGAAACATGTGCCAAACATCTAGTTGGCGATATGGCTCAAGGATTGGGCTCAGCCACGCAAGGACCCAGAAAACTCATGACCAGTAAAACGGAATTTTTGATTGACCAAGGAACTTGTCATCAAGTGACTGCCACCACCAATACTATTTTTATTGCTTACAGTTTGTGTATTCATAGTTTTTAAAAGGGCAATAGCACAGAGGTCCAAAGACGGCAGGCCGAGAGTAATTGATAATTTGATTTTAAGAACAATCTAAGAATTTAATTTAAAGGGATAAGTCATGGAAGAGAGCTCAAGACCTTGGTGTGCTCTTGCTGCTCTACACAGCCAGTCAGACAGGCACTGGATGTGTGCAGAAAGTGTTTCCAGCTGCACCTCTTGGAAGCCCGAGTTCTGAAGCTGGAGCAGCAGCCGAGGACACTGTGGCGCATCTGGGAGGCTGAAATTATTGTGGGTAGCAAATAGAGTACTGGTCAGTCAGGAAGCTAAGACTTCACAGTGAACGAGGGAATATCTGGCCACCAGGCAGGTGAGCAGGATTAGGCAGGCAGCTCAGCAGCCTTGTTGCCATTTCCTTGCAGAACGGGTGTACTGCTCTGGATACTGTTGGTGGGAATGGCCACAGAGGAGTGTAAAAATAGCCAAATTTGTTACACAACAGTTTGGCTTTGCTGCAGGAGTGTTAAATGTGCTGAAGGCTATAGTAATAGGGGATTTAACAATAGATTTAACGATAAAAGGTTTTTAAAAGTTTCCCAATCCTCTGGCTTCCCACCAACCTTCACCACATTTTCTGCTTTTTCTGGTGCTTTTATACTGTACCTGACTTTCCTTGTCAGGAAAGTCTTCTCCTCCCATAACATGTTTCCTTGGGATGAACTGTGCTATGTCTCCTGAATTACCACTAGAAACTCCTGCCATTGCTGCTCTGCTGTCCTCCCTGCAAGGGTCCCCTTCCAACTTTGGCCAGCTCCTCCCTCAAGGCTCTGAAGTTACCTTTACACATACGTAATATCATTACATGTGATTCCAGGTTTTCCCCCTCAAATACCGTGCGAATTTGATATTATAGTCACTGTCCCCTAGGGGCTCATTCACATTAGAGCCCTCTAATCAAGTCTGCCTCATTACACATCATCAGATCTAGAATTGCCTGTTTCCCCCATTGGCTCTACCACAAGCTGGTCAAAAAAAAATCTCAGTCCATGAATTTCTTTTCTTGAGATCCGTTTCCAACCTGATTTGCCCAGTCCACCTGCATACTGAAGTCCCCTATGATTATTATAATAGGTGTCTTACATGCCTTCTCTATGTCCTGATTTATTTTCTTTCCCACATCCTGTCTACTGCTAGGAAGCCTATACACAACTCCCATCAGTGTTTTTTTTCACCCCTTTGTAGCTCCTCAACTCTACCCACAGAAATTTTACACGTTCTGACTCTATGTCACTTCTTGCTATCAATTTAATTTAATTTGTTACTAACAAGGCAACCCCACCACGCCCACCACCACCCCCCTCTCACCCTTCTGCCTTTCCCTTCGATAGGATGCACATTCTTGGATATTTAGTTCCCAGCCCTGATCCCCTTACAGTCACGTCTGTGATACCCACAATGTACGTGCCAATTACAATGTGCGCTACAAGCTCCCTTACCATGGTTCATCTCCTGTGTGCTTTTAAGTAAAACACCCTCAAGTCCTGCACAAAGGATCAACATTCTCTATTCCCTACAAGGTACACCATTCAGGAGCAAGATGAGAAATTTCTTCACCTAGAGAATCACAGAATCTGTGGGAACCTCTGCCACAGAAGGCGGTTGAGGCCAAAAACATTGAGCATTTTCAAGGAGTTAGATATAGGTCTTAGGGCTATAGCAATCAACAGTATGAGGAGAAAGGTGGGACAGGGTACTGAGTTGGATGATCAGCCACAATCATATTGAATGACTTAATAGGCTTGAAGAGTGGCCTCCATCTATTTCCATTTTCTCAGTTTCCTCTACTGCACCCAGGTCCACTCATCTTTCACTCTTGCATGAAATCACAAGTGGTATAATAACTGTCCTTTTTTTAAAAACCTTCTCGCTCCCCTGCGTCCAAGGCCTCAAACACACTTCCCGGGGAAGAAGCAATTAACTTGTATTTTTTCAAACTAATCTACATTATTCACTGTTCAAAATGTCATCTCTCTAAGGGGCAAGGCCAAATACAAACTAGGTGACTGATTTGTAAAACACTTCTGCTCGTTATGTAAGAATAACCTTGACCTTCGAGTTGCTTGCTATTTTAATACATCTTGCTCAGTGGTGCTGCAGTGTTCCCAGCAAAGCCCAAAGCAAGCTATTGGAACGGTACCTCATCTTGTCAGGCACTTTACAACCTTCAGGATGCAACAGAGTTCCACAACTTCAGACAATGAACACTGTCCTTAATTCTGATTACATCCCATTTACTTGGGCTTGTTCTTAGCAAAGCTGACCTATTTTCTACTATTTAACACTTACCATTAACATCTGTCATCCATATCTCTCCTCTACTATCATTAACATTCTTGTATTTTGCTCAAGGCACTCTCACTATCTGTTCCACCTGCGTCTCCCTCCTTTGTCAAGTATGTAGAAACCAATGTTTCTCAGCTCTCTGCAGTTCTGAAGAACTGTTTCTCTCTCCAAAGATGGGGGCCATAATTTGAATACTGTACACGGTTATGGTCTCTTTATTTAAGGAAAGATGCAAACGCTTCAAAGGCAATTCAAGGTGGTTTACGAGACTGATACCTGGAATGAACAGGTTGGACAGTCTGGGCTTGTTACCAGTCTGGTTTTGAACAGCTGAAGGGTGACTTGATAGAAATTGTAAGATTCTCAGGGGCAACCTCTCAACAATTAATTGGGAGTTGCCTTTTAGAACAGAAATGAGGAATTTCCCCCCCCCCCCCCCCCAGAGTGATACGCAACTTTGGAACTCTGTTTCAAAGCAGAGGAGGAATGGTAACTGAACTTTTTTTTGGCAGAATGAGATAGATTCTTATTAATACAGAATCAAAGGATATTAAGAGTAGATGGGACTGTGGAATTCCAAATACAAACAGATTAGCCAGGATTGTATTGATTAGCAGAGCACGCTTGAGAAGACAAAAGGCCTACTCTGCTTTGAAATCCTATGTTCACGTGTAGCTTCCTAAGATGTTGAGAGAAAACATCAAGCTTCCAATACACAAGATTAGAAAGGAAAAGTCGCAACTAGAAACGAGCAGCAAATCTTGGTATCTCACTCGCAACACTAACACAGCTTTCTTTCAGAAATTACCCAACTAGTTGTGTATTACCACTTTAAAGTATTCACATTAGCACAGGCATACAAGATATAACCTTAAAATAATTTTTAACATTCACATCAAATAAAAATTCACCTGAGGCCACCGGCCATTAGACAGGGCTCTTTGCTTAATTTCTTCGACTGTTTTCCGGCGGGAATACTGGTCTGAGCGAGACACCAAGACTGGCCGAATATATTTGATCAATGCTGGTGAGACAAGTCACAAAACTCAATAAATAAAAGCATGAAAATCTGGTGTCTCAGTGCTTCCCACTGCAAAAATACTAAAAACAGACACATTGCATAACCGAGATTTTAATGTATATACTCGAGCAAACGATAAGCAGGGATACCACAATGCAACACCTGAAAGGATATTGATCCTGATTACAACATGACTATTTTGACTACCATCCAGTTATGCATTGTAGCCAATAAGAAAAATTGAAAGCTGCAAGTTGCTTCCTCGCTGTCTGCCGTGCAGCAGATATCACTTTCTGATTGGGTAATTTGATCCCCAGAATTAGAGAAATGTTTAGCATAGCAAACAGGGGATTAATTGTAGGCAGCAATTTTGTCATGATGATGGTATATACTGGAAACTATTCTCCTTAAAAATGATCAACTCAATTTGTTTGATGTTTGATTGGATTCCCACACAGTCTCAGATGAGAATAAGCGAAGAGCACACTCAGTCTAGCATATACCTCTGTCTTGCTGCATTATCTCAACTTTATTACAATTACACAGCTCTTCCCTGTCAGGTTGATGCTGTACAAAAAAAATTCTTTTTACTGACAACTTCCATCATGCAGGAGGCAGCTTTAGGGCAATCCATATCCAAGACTTGCTAAAAACTCTGCTTGCATTTTCATACCAGGGAGAGGGGGAGCACGCAAGGTTTGGAGGCGCGGAGTGAGCATATGCGAGGGCGGGGGGGGGGGGGAGAGCAAGAGCGAGGATAGGGGAAGGGAATGTTGAAGGTGTTGGATGAAGTGCCAATCAAATCAGCAGGATGTGTTATGCTTCTTCGATGTCACTGGAGATACATTCCATCACACTGCTGATGTGCATCTTGGTGGGTAGGCTTTGGGAAGACAGTAGGTGCATTACTCACCTCAGAATTCCCAGGCTCTGACTTGTTCGTGCAGCTACAATATTAAAATGGCTGGCATGGTTCAGTTTCTGATCAATGGTAATCCCAGGACATTAGAAATCTGGGGATTCAGCAGTTGTGACAATAAACACCTAGGCAAAATGGTTAGCTTTATTCCTCTTGGAGATTGCCATTGTCTGGCTCTCTCGTGATGCAAACATTACTTACCACTTATCTGTCCAAGATTGGATGTTGTTCACGTGTTGCTGCAAAAGACAGCTGCTTCAGTATCTGGTGAACAGCGCCAAACATACTGTAGTCTGGAAACATGCCCATTTCTGATGTTATGATGGAGGGAAGATAATGATGAAGCAGATGAAGATGGCTGGGCCTAGGATACTACCTTAAGAAAGTACCACGTTGATGTTCATGGAATTCTGATGATTAGCCTCCAAAGAATTCAACCATCCTCCTTTATGCTCAGTTTGATTCCAACTAATACAGTTTTCCTCAGAGTCCTCTTGACTCTGGATTTGCTCGGGGGCTCCTTGATGCCACACTTGGTCAAATGCTGTCTTGCTGTCACCTCACCTCTGGAACTCAGTTCATGTCCATGTTGAACCATAGCCAAACACAGGTCAGGAACAGAATGTGTAGAGCTGGATGAACACAGCAGGCCAAGCAGCATCAGAGGGGCAGAA